GTCTAGGCCCGAAACGTCAGCCTTCCTGCTTCTCTGATGCTGCTTGGCCTGCTGTGTTCATCCAGCTCTACACCTTGTTATCTCAGATTCTCCAGCATCTGCAGTTCCTGCTATCTCTGTAGATAGGAAAGACCCATTTCCCTTAATAGAAAGGTAAGTTATCAAGGGACACAGATTTAAGGTGATTGATAAAAGGATTAGAGGAGACAAAAGGCAATGTTTTTCGCCCAGAAGATGGTGAGTGTCTGGAATTAATTTCCCAGTTTGACAGTTAAGTCATTTTTGACGAATGCTTGATGAAAAATGATTGGAAGATGCATGGGATATCACAGAACATGGTACTTTCCTAGGACTTCCTAGAATTTCATATACCTCAATATTTAATGTCTAATACATTACATCCTCTCACCTTCTCATTCATCATGTCATATTTTTAAATAATTACAATCCAGTCAATTATTGCCCTAAAAGACCAACTCTCAAACATCTGTAAATGATAGAAGTAGTAATTAGCCATGATCATAACCTGACAACCTCAAACCAATAAACTGCTTACAAATGGTCAATTTGAATTTCTCCAGGAACATTCAGGTCCAGACCTTATTACAGCATTGGTCTGAACACTGACATGGATGGATGAGTTTGCCTGCCTGTAATGTAATTTGCATTTGATAAACCATGACACCAAAGAACCGTAGAAAAATTGATTCATGGAAATCGGGGGCCGGGGTGAGCGGGGTGGGGTGGGGGGGTGCGGTGCGGGGGCTACTCTTTACGTTGGAGGATAAAACATTTAAATACCAACAATATGTCTGGCACAAAAGGAAGACAGCCATGTTGTTAGTTGTTAATTATTTTAACCTCAGGATATCACCACAGGAGATTTTAGCACCAATTTATTCCCATTATCATTTTCTTTTAATTTCCAAGAAAAGGTTTAAATATCAGTCCCCTATCAAGTCAAATCTTATGCAAATCCAGCATACAGCCAGAATGCACTGACCACATTTCTTGCTAGTTCAACTTGTGTCTAGAAACTAAGGCAGTAACCTCCAACCATCCCCCCCAAAAAAACAGCTATGGACCTGTTTCTAAAAAATCTCTTGCTTTTTCACTGCTATATAAATCTAAACTTATAGACACAAACATATATGTAGCATTATTTTTCCAGATATGCAAGGTTCATAGACGATAACAGCACATAACTTCTGTTCTAAACTGTTGTTTCTGTCTGGACTACCTCTGCTGAGGTACAACATCAATTTTTTTTCAACTATCTTGCACCTAACTTTGCATGATACACACTCCAAATCTGATCTGGGCACATAGTATGATTGTTATTAGTGAAAACAATAACAGAATCATAGAATCACCTAGTGTGTACGCAGACCTTTCAGACGACCAAGTCCACACAGACCCTCCGAGCAGCATCCTACCCAGACCCACACCCCTAACCTAACCCTTTAACGCTGCATTTCCCATGGCTAATCCACCTAGCCTGCACATCCCTGGACACTATAGGCAATTTAACATGGTCAATCCACCTAACCATCACAGATTTGAATTGTGGGAGGAAACTGGAGCACCAAGATGAAACCCATGCAGACTCAGGGAGAATGTGCAAATTCAACACAGGCTGGAATCGAACCCGGGTCCCTGATGCTGTGAGCAGCAGTGCTAACTGCTGAGCCACCATGCCACCGAATACTCTACTTCCAAGAGTAATACAGCACTGCTGAGCCACAATGGTCAAAATAATTTGTTATTAAGTTAACACTTTTGCACAGCACCACTGAAATGTTATGACCAAGCCGTTCTTCGTGATTACTGTTTGCATTATTCAACTACAAACCACTACTAATGAAAACAGTTTGAAAATAATTTAAGCTTCAAGTAGAAAAGCTTGATCACATACAGTACGTTCGCAGAAAAAATGTTTTATAATTATCTTTTCAGGGATAAAGAACAGGAAAGGCCTTATAAGAATTAACTACCAGTGACTTGTTTACCACATCCCATAATAGTTGCATGATCCAGAAATGGAACAAAAGCCAAAAAAGCTCTTTAGCATTAGTTACACAACAGTAGTTGTTTTGATCTCTGATATAGTAACTCAAGTAGCGTACACCTGAATTTATGGGAATGCTAGGATTTATGCTCCACTAAGCACAGAGTTACCAGGGCATGAAGACAGGTAGGGGACGCCTCCCTCTAGTCAAACAAATTCCTGGCAGATGAATATGGAATATTTAAAGTTATCAGAGAACAGTACAGAGTTTGTTTTAAACAAACAAAACCAGGCCACGAAATATTGTGACAATTAGAAATTAAGTTCACAACTATTAGGCTACACTATTACATATTTAAATAATTATATCCTTTGGAGTTTCACTGCAACCATAGAGGATCATCAATGTATGAAAGTATTCCAGGTTATAATATTTTCAAAGCTTGATTTCCTTAAACAACTTCAATCCACTATCTTTCTTACTGTGCCTCTTTGAAGAAGCTGGGGTACATTTTTACATTAATAACATTATATAAATATGCTGTTGCCATCTTTACTTTCCATAAGCTGTGCACTATGAAGCACAAAATGAAACATTTGGTTTCATAGCACTATAGACAATTAAAAAAGACAACAATCTTGACTCAAAACAATAACTACAGTCTGCATGGTTATTACATTCACAAAACATTAATGGGTTGAAATTGTTCAGAGCAAATAAAGGTTGCACCCATTTTTCTGCCACAATTAAAATAAACAGATTCAGAATAGTAAGTCAAAATATCAAACCACTGATTACCTATATCTCCTAGCTCAATCTGAACCTGAGACACAAAGAAGTCTATCTTGGTCAAATGAGGTGTTTTAATGAACAGCTTAAAACTAAATAGTGGCAACACTAGTAGCAGCAGATTACAGAAGGCTCTACTACTAAGTGTGAAGTAGGAGCAGAATGTCAGACACAAATAGGAATTGAGAGCAATCTGGGAGAGAGTGAAATTTTAAAGACCCCAACTGCAGCTCTGAAGGATTTGGGCTCTTGGCTTATTTCCTACTTTAGGATGGTGATAGAGGTGTTGTATGGTCCACCTATTTTTGGACCTCCTGTGGCTCTTATTTGTGCAATTAATGGATTGGTAGCCCAGCAGCTTTAAGTGAGTGGGTTGGTGGTCGGACAGGAGAGGAGGGGAGGGGAGCACGAACTTCAGAGGTTACCTACACGTTTAGGAGGCAATCCCCACAAGATCTTACACCCTATCTAATCCTCATCCTCTATCGTCTCTAACCTGACTCTTCACAGCCCCTCTTTCCCCTGACTGGGTCAGTCAGCCAGGTTTTATTAATTGCCCAGACTGACCTGAAGTCACACATCCAAAATAATCTTTAGGTTCTGACTTTGATCCCAGTGGCATCAGTCCTACCTTACAGATCTGCCAAGTCAGTCACTCTGATTGGCTGCTGGCATTATAATCCCAGCAGGACCGGTCTTGAGGGATGATCACTGCTGGGAGTACAAAACTGGTGGCCAATCAGACTGGCTGGCACAACTCTAAGGCAGGCCTCCCTCCCAAGATGTGGGAAGAAGTCTTTATATTAGCTAATTGACACCCATGGAGTTTTAAACAGCTGAGCTGCATATAGATCCCCGTCAATTCTTCAGATGGTGGGGGGAGAAACCCATCCGAAATATCTTCCCAAAGACAAAGACAATGGTGGGTGCTGCAGAAACAGAATAAGAGATCAACAAAAACGGTGCCTGCTGGTAGTGATCAGTGAAGATATGGGTGATGATGACTTGAAAAGGCCAATCACTCCCCACCCACCCACAGCATGAGACTGGGTGTGAGAGTCTTTCTTATTCCCCAGCCTACTATTTGCAATTCGGTCTACCTGTTCTTAGGAGGAGGGAATAAATTATTTTGCAGGTACAACATTCAAAAAGTGTTACGTAACAAAATATTCATTAAAAATTGAAATGCAAAGACAAAATATTCTACAAGTACAAACTCAATTTTCTTTAAATAAATAATGCATAGACCGAGAAAAGTCTATGCTAAAGTAATTAGCCTTAACCAACATAGCTACGGAGCCCTACTTGTCTTATTGTACTTGGAAGAGGAGTGAAAAATCAACAAATCAGCAAACCTCCTTTCTGATGACCCTTTGTGACTTCTTGCTTTCAGACAAAAAACTGTAATGCATCATAATTTAAGTCCACCTGCAAACTTGGACATACAAGATCAAGCATTAAGTCATACTATTCAAATCATTAATGTAATGGGTGACATGGTGGCTCAGTGGTTAGCACTGCTGCCTCACAGCGCCAGGGACCTGGGTTCAATTCCACCCTCAAGTGACTGTCTGTGTGGAGTTTACACGTTCTCCCCGTGTCTGCATGGGTTTCCTCCGGGTGTTCCGGTTTCCTCCCATAGTCCAAAGATGTGCAGGTTAGGTGGATTGGCCATGCTAAGTTGCCATAGTGCCCCGGGATGTTTAGGTTGTGCTGGGGTAGGGGAATGGGTCTGGGTGGGGTGCTCTTCAGAGGGGCGGTGTGGACTTGTTGGGCCGAAGGGCCTGTTTCCACACTGTAGGGATTCTATGTAAAGTGCAAAGCCGTGGCCACGAAGCAGAACACTATGTTACATCCCACTAATCAGTGAATAAACCCTTTATTCCTGTGCTGTCTTCTAGCTCTCAGCAAATCACCAACACTTCCATTTAGTACTTGGTACTCTAATGTTTACTGGTAATCTTTTGTGTTGCATCTCAATAAATATCTTCTGGAAGTTCACACAAACAGCAATCATAGACAGTCCTCCTGTTCACTAATTACCCCCCAAAAATCAACTAACGTAGTCAGACACTGCTAACCTTCAAAAATCTCTGGGATCAGTTGGTAATTGTCCAAGTGCTTAGTCACTGCCTCTGATAGATTCTTGCAATTTCCTCAAATGTAATGGTATGTATGTTGTTACTCGGCATCTCTTTGCTTCTTAGACAATGGAGTGGAATTTCCATTTTCCAATTCAAATGCATAACTACTGGAATCTAGATAATTTTAAAATATTACAATTAAACATCTTACAATTTCCTCACCAACTTATTTGAATACTCTGCAAATCTTCAAATTCTAGAGCTTTGCCTCTGATTTAAGTCCCATTCATTTTCTCCATTACCATTTAAAAAAAGAGAATGGATATTAAATCTATTGAGTTCCATCACTGATGTATTTTAAATCTCCTGTTCTGCCGTTATTTTGCCTCTTCCTTTGCTATGATGATGGATACATTTTAACAAGCATTACATTTCCTTATTCATTACAGTCATGTTGAGGTTACAGTGGACATTCATGAGGCCTCTTTCTGGAGTATTGTGTCCAGTTCTACCCACCCAGTTATAGGAAGGATATTATTAAGCTGGAGAGGGTTCAAAAGATATTAACCAGGATATTGCTGGGTATGGAAAGTCTCAGTTACAAAGAAAGGCTGGATAGGCTGGGAGTTTTTTCACTGGAGTGTAGAAGGTTGACAGGCAATGTAATAGAAGTTTATAACATAATGAGGGTATAAATAGAGTTAGTAGTTGTCTTTTACGATAGACAGTAGTTGTCTTTTCCCTAGGATGGAGGATTTCAAGACTAGGGGACACATTTTTAAGGGGAGGAGAAAGATTAAAAAAAAACACGAGGGGTAAATTTTCTTTAAACGGAGGGTGGTTTGTGTGTGAAATGAACTTCCAGAAGAAGTGGTGGATGTGGGTACAATTACAACAATTAAAAAGACATTTGGATAAGTGCATGAATAGGCAAGGTTTGAAGGAATATGGGCCAGAAGCAGGAAGGTAGGACTAGTTTATTTTGGGATTATGGTAAAAAACACAAATTCTAATTAATCTGGAATTTCATACACATTGTTAGATCAGGTTTTTCTGGATTATACATTTTTTTAAAAATTATGGAAGAAGATGCAAAATAATTTACAAGGATGATAGCAAAGCAGAGATTTTACATATTTGGAAAGACCGACAAGCTGAGATACTTTTAACAAGACTGTGAAGTGATTTGGTACAGGTCTTTAAAATGATGACAGAATTTGAAAGGGTTGGGTAGAAATGTGGTTTCCATGTAGAGGAGAGAACAAACTAGCAGCCATCAGTGTAAAAAAGTCACAAATAATCTCAAGAGTGATTTCCACAGACATTTCTTTATCCAGAGAATGGTTAGAAAGTGAAACTTGCCACCACAAGTAGTAGCTGACTTGAGTAGCATATCCATTTTTAAAGGGAGGCAAAATAAACACATAATGGATAAAGGAACACAGGAGTATGCTGAACGGGTTAAATGAACAGAAGAATGTGCTGTTGGGATTAAATGCAGTGGAGAAAGGGCTCAGTGAAAAGTATACACACTAGCATGGAGCAGTTGGGCTGAATGGCCTGCTTCTATGCTCTACATACATAATTCTGCTTGGTTTGAAGTGAAGGCTAAATATCTTCCGTAGCAGCAGAAAGCAGTTTTTTGATAGTAACTTCCTATCAGAGGCTGTTTCAACTGGTCACCCAAAATTCTACACAACTGTTCCTTTCAAAGCTGCAGCTATTGGTTCAAATGTGGCAAATGGTATTTTATTGAAATATGTAATCGGTGAACTAACAACTCCAACAGAAAATATATCCAGATAATAATGTTACTTTCTTTGTAGTCACAAGCCAACCCATGTGGTGGCAAGTAAGACCAATTGCCAAGAAGTATGTTGTATCTAGGAGAACACTTTATTTGCTAGTTAAAGGAAATTAAAATTACTGGTTACTATTACCAACATATTCCTCCTCTGTTTCCAGCCTTCAAAAACTGCTTGATTTCAAATATTTCTTGCAGGAGTTTAACATCTCATGTTTGAAACAGAGGACATCCATCTCACATCAAAATATTTCTTGTTGCTGCTTAGCTCCAGTAATATATCAGCTACCAAACAGCTCATACTATCAAACAGAAACAAATGCAATCACCAGGCACCATCAGGTAAACTAGATATGAGATCACACCGTATTTATATTTTTTTGTGACATAATTTGAAGTGAAATGTAAATTTCACCCATTTATATAAAATGTGTTGTGTCGCTATATGCAGAAATAATAGTAAAGTAATTTTAAAACATTTTCATATTTCACAAATAGCTGGCAGGCAAGGAGTATTGAGATGGTTTGTAAATTATCATTCCACATTAGGGCTAAATATGTGAAATAATCCAAAATGACAGCTAAAAATGTAATCATAAATCAAAACAACCAAGGAAGGACAGGTGTGGTCTGTATTAAACAATCCTATATCTTACCATCTCATCCATGCTGCAAACAATCATTGAAATGCCTATTTCATTTTGCTACTTTTATAAATTAAAATGAATATTGCAGTACAAGATTCTGAGGAATGCAGAAGAAACAGAAAAACACAATCACCCAGAGCAAGACAATGTTCATAATGTTCTAAACCATAATGGACACACCTCACTCAGGGTCAACAAGAGTTAGCCTGAGAAGATGATGAGAAATTTGAAATTCAAGTGAAATGATAATTACTTCAGATTTAAAACAAGAAACAGATTTTTCATAAGAATCATCTAAATCAAATTTTTAATTTGGATAGAATTAAACTTGCTTTCAATTTAGGGGCAGTAGCAAGACTCGACACATTATATTAAAGTTCTGTTTTCAGTAGTGGACTTATCAACCTTTCTGGATTGCCAAAGAATCTCCCAGACATTGCTGCTGCCAACTCAGGAAAAAAAACATTGCTATTCTACTTTGCACCTGCATGCTCTCTATGGTCCGAAAAGCAATAACTCCCACCATTCTAGCTGCCACTATGGAGCTACTTTGTACGGCTTCTATTCCACGTGGGTGATCGCTGAGCCCCTTCTCATCTGGACCTTCCAGTCAGTCCACACCAGTGATGTGCAGCGGGACCAACCATAATGAAATTCACCAGCCATAGCAACCTTTCTTGTTTGCTAGATTTCCGTAAAGAAACTTTCCATATATCTTCTAACAATCCTGAGTTTACTGCTCTTCAACTCTTCTCTCCAACAGCATCCCATCACACTGACTCAGGGTTGCACCACGCCGCAGTTCCACCTCATCCTCCAGCTCATTCGTCATGCTAACAAGAAACTTTTTCTTTCCTTTTCAGGCATCAAGGCCCACAAGATGCAACAACTCCATGCACTCAGATCTAACCCTGCCGATAACGGTGGTGCTGTTGTAGTCTGGTGTACTGACCTTGCAGAGGCCGAGTGCCAACTCTCCGATACATCCATCTTACCTTCCCGGGGACCATGACCACACCATGACACATCAAGCCATTGTATCTACTAGGGTAACTGATCTCATTTCATCTGGTAATCACACCCCTCTGCTTCCAAGCTGATAGTCCCCCAGCCCAGTACAGCTCGCTTCTACCTCCTCCTAAAAATCCACAAACAGGACTGTCCTGGCAGACCCATTGTTTCAGCCTGCTCCTGCCCCACAGAACTCATCTCTTCCTACCTAGATTCAGTCTTCTCTCCCCGGTCCAATCCCTGCCCACGTACGTCCATGATTCCTCTGACGCCTTATGCCAGTTTCAAAACTTCTAGTTTGCTGGTTCTAGCCACCTCCTTTTTACCATGGATGTGCAATCCCTTTACCCTTCCATTCCTCACCAGGAGGGTCTGAGGGCTCTCCGCTTCTTCCTGGAGCAAAGACCTGAGCCATCCCTACCCACTACCACCCTCCTCTGCTTGGCTGAGCTCATCCTCACCCTCAACAACTTCTTTTGACTCCTCTCAATTTCTTCAGCTAAGAGGGGTAACCATGGGTACCCACACGGGCCCTACTTATGCCTGTCTCTTCATGGGGTACATGGAACATTCCTTGTTCCAGTCCTAATTCCGGCCCCCACTCACAATGCTTTCTCCGATACATCAATGATATCATTAGTGCTGCTTCCCTCTCTCATCTGGAATTGGAAATCTTCATCAATTTCACCTTCAATTTCCACCCTGCCCTCACTTTCACCTGGTCTATCTCTGACTCCTCCCTTCCCTTCCTTGACATTTCAGTTTCCATTTCTGGGGATAGACTGGCCACTAATACCCACGACAAACCCACTGACTCCTACAGCTACTTGGACTATACATCCTCACACCCCACTTCCTGTAAAGACTCCATCCCATTCTCTCAGTTCCTCCATCTCCGTCGTATACGTTCAGATGAGGCCAACTTCGACAAGGGAGCTTCCGAAATGTCCACCTTCTTCCTCAACCGAGGATTCCCCAGCTCTGTTGTCGACATGGCCCTCAGCCAGGTTCAACCCATCTCCTGCACTTCCGCCCTCACCCCTTCTTTTCCCTCCCGCAACAGCAATAGGGCACCCCTTGTCCTTACCTACCATCCCATCACCATCAACATCCAGAAGATCATCAGACAACATTTCTGCCACCTCCAGCAAGATGCCACCACCAGCCACATATTCCCCTCCCCTCCCTTGTCCGCCTTCCGCAGGGACTGTTCCCTCCGGGACACTCTGGTCCACACTTACTTCACTCCCAACAACCCCCCACAGCCCTACGGCACCTTCCCCTGTAACACCTGCCCATTTACCTCCCCTCTCCCCACTATCCAAGGGCTCAAACATACCTTCCAGTTGAAGCAACACTTCATCTGCACTTCCCAGAATTAGTCTACTGCATTCGCTGCTCACAATGTGGTCTCCTCTGCATTGGAGAAACAAAGTGTAGACTGGGTGATTGCTTCGCAGAACATCTATGTTCTGCTCACAAGAAAGACCCTGAACTACCTATTGCCTGCCACTTTAATGCACCCTGTTCCTTGGCCAACATCTGTCTCTGGCTTGCTGTAGTCTTCCAGCGAAGCTCAATGCATGCTGGAAGAACAACACCTCATTTTCCGCTTGGGGATCTGCAGCCCTCCAGACTCAACATAGAGTTCAATAATTTTAGGGCCTTAACTCTCCTATGTCCCAGCCCCCTACCTCACACACCAAGCCTGTTACCACATAGCTTGCCATTGCACACCACCTGTTGTTAGTCACTAATAGTCCCCATTAACAACTATTCTCCCTCCCAGCCTGATCGCCACCAAGTCTTTGTCTATCCAACTACTCTTCTCTCTTTTTAGGTTCTATCCTATTGTTTACTCCCTACCCCGCCCTCCCCTTTTTCTGCATATAAACTGATGGTTTCCCACCCACCATCAGTTCTGAGGGTCACCAGACCCGAAATGTTAACTGTTTTTTTCTTCACAGATGCTGCCAGACCTGCTGAACTTTTCCAGCAACTTTGTTTTTGTACCTAAGTTTACTATTGCCTTCCCATTCTGAATGTTCTGACAGTCGTAAGAAGAAATAGTGCGTGAAATTGCAAGCGTGCCTTAAAAACAGTATATCAAAATCCTCAGTGTTTTCATCAATGAAGACATGGTGCTAGTTTCAGGCAGTATAACGTTCCAGTTTACTGTTAGAAACTTTAGTATTTGTTGCTTTCTGTACCTGCTCTTGGAAATTGCTGGAATCCCAGGCCCATAAGGCTGTTGGTCCAATGTTGTGCAGTTTACTGCTTTTGAAGTTTGGGAAAAATCAAGAGGCAAGCCATTTTGCTAGAATGCCTGGGCAGTGCTTGCAAAAAGGGTCTTCTGCTGCAGGTTAATTGAAGGAAATTTTCACATACCTGTAGAAAAAGCACTTCAAGCTATTAAGACCGAGTCTGGAGGAGTGAATGGTCTTTCTCCAACCCCACTACCCCACTGGGTACAACATAAATTTAAATGCATTACCCAGTTACTGATGAGACTAGTTACGTACTTTATCTACATTAGGTTTAGAATAAACAAGATCCATCAACTAAGTTTCTTTAATAAACATTATTGATTTATAATAAAACCAGATCTTTCAACAAAGATGCAAAGCTGTTTGATATATGAAAGTTTATCCTTCCAAATAACCTACACATCAATTAAAGAAATGTAGTTTTCTCTGCAAAATTAATTTTGAAAAGAAGCTGGACATTAATTGTTAGGTCTTGAAGGAAAAAGAAGAGGGTATAAAATCTTTAAGTGGCTTTCAATTTGCATCCTGCACACACGAACTGGTATCACTAAAAACAGGCAGCTGTCACTGGAACCTTTGGAAAAAAAATAGTTCATTCAGGAATCATGGAAAATTCAGAAACTTTTCAGAAAAAAAGCTGGACTTCTGATTCAGGTATTACACAGACCCTCTCTTGAAAGGGTTTTCTGAAAAGGCAGAAGAGCCAGGAAGCTTCTCCGTCTCAGCAGACTGAATTCTCAAGAACATCACAAGAGGACAGCACTTGACAGCCGTAAACCCAGGTGTATGACATGCATTAAATCGAGCAGCTTTCAATCTTAGCTTTAAGAATGTAATTTCCAATAAGTTTTTTTTTTATTTAAAAATATCCAATGTCATTTTAGGGATTCCATTTAAAAAAAAAAATCAATTCGGGCATCCAACATTCCTTCTGAGCTGTATGGCCATTCCAAGGATCCACCCATGCAAATCAGGGGGCTGGCACTGTCCCCAGCAGTGATTTCATATTTGGAAGTCATTGCCATGCATGGAGGTCCATGTAGAAGAAAACAAACTAGAAGGAACTCGGGGAGGCACTGGCCTAGTGGTATTATCTCTAGAGTGTTAATCCAGAGACCCAGATAACATTCTGGACCTGGATTCGAATCCTGCCACAGCAGATGGTGGAATTTGAATTGAATTAAAATATCTGGAATTAAGAGTCTAATGATGACCACAAATCCATTGTCAACTGTCAGGAAAAACCCATCTGGCTCACTAATGTCCTTTGACGACGAATCCATCATCGACTGTCGGAAAAACCCATTTGGCTCACTAACGTCCTTTAGGTAAGGAAACTGCCATCCTTACCTGGTCTGGCCTACATGTGACTCCAGACACACAGCAACGTGGCTGACTCTCAAGTACCCTCTGGGCAATTAGACATGAGCAATAAATGATGCCTAGCCAGCGACGCCCTCATCCTATTAATGAATTAAAAAAAATCGTAGCAGGTATCTCTGTCTTTTCAAAAGAACCACTGTCCACAATCCTTTAAACATTAATCTCCAAATAACAAAACCATAATGTTGTGTTGAACATGACACCAAATTAAACAAATCCCTTTCTGCCTGCCCATGGTCATTATCCCTCCATCCCTTATATATTCATGTATTTATCTAAAAGTGTCTTAAATGCCCCAATCATATCTGCCTCCACCCTGGCAATGCATTCCACACACAGTGTAAAAAAAGCTTGCCCTCACATCTCTCTTGGCTCTTCCTCCTCTCATCTAAATGCATGCTCCCTACTTTTAGACATTTCAACTCTGGGAAAAAGATTCTGACCTTCAACGCTATCAATGCGTCTCATAATTTCATATGACTGACTCTTGTACTCATTTCCCTGACCAATAAAGGCAAGCATACTATACGTATGCCTACTTTACCACCCTATCTGTTTGTGTGGCCACTTTCAGGGAGTTATGAATGTGATACCCAAGATCCCTCTGTACATCAATCCTGTTAAGGGTCCTGCCATCACTTTTCCCTAACATTTGATCTCCCAAAGTGTAGCACCTCACACTTATCCGGATTAAACTCCATCTGCCATTTCCCCGCCCATGCCTGCAACTGATCCCGCTGTATCCTTTGACAAAACACATAGAATCCCTACAGTGTGGAAACAGGCCCTTCAGCCCAATAAGTCGACACCGACCCCTGGAGCATCCCACCCAGACCCATACCCTTATAACCCACCCAGGCTACACATTACTGAACAGTACAAGCATGGCCAATCCACCTAATCTGCACATCTTTGGACTGTGGGAGGAAACCAGAGCACCTGGAGGAAACCCACGCAGACATGGGGAGGATGTGCAAACTCCACACAGACAGTCACCAGAGGGTGGATTCGAACCCAGGTCCCTGGCACTGTGAGGCAGCAGTGCTAAACCCTGGGCCACCTACATGATCCACAACTCCATCAATATTTGGGTCATCTACAAACTTACCAACTCACCCATCTGCATTTTCATCCAAGTCATTTATATATACCAGCAGAGGTTCCAGTACAAATCCCAGTGGAACATCACTAGTCATGGACCTCCAGCCTGAAAAACACCCTTTTACCACCACCCTCTGTCTTTTATGGGCAAGCCAATTCTGAATCCACGCAAAGTTGTCGTGGATCCCAAGCATCTTAATCTTCTGGATGAGCATACCATAAGGGCCCTTGTCGAAAGCCTTACTAAAATCCATGTAGACAACATCCACTGCTCTACCCTCATTGATCACCTTTGTCACCACCTTGAAAAACTCAATCAAGTTAATAAGACATGACCTGCCCTGCACAAAGCCATGCTTTGCCAAATGTGCGTAAATGCTGTCCCTAAGAATTCTCTCCAATAGATTCCCAACCACCAATGTGATCTCAAAATGCCGTAGTATATTAGCATGCTCCACACAAATCTCACTATCCTCCATATCTTTCTCTTGGGTGAATACCTATGCAAAGTACTCATTTAGGATCTTACCCACATCCTCTGCCTTAAAGCACAAATTCTCTTCTTTATCCTTGAGTGGTCCTACCTTCTCCCTAGTTATCCTCTTATTTTTAATGTATGTATAAAATACCTTGGGATTCTCTATAACGCTACTTGCCAAGGTCAGTTCATGGCCCTTTTGTGCTCTCCTAATTCCCTGCTTGAGTTCCTTCCTGCTTTCTTTATATTCCTCAAAGGCCCTGTATGATTTTAGCTTCCTAAATCTTACATATTCTTCTTTTTTTTCCCCTTTTGACTAAATTCACAACCTCCCTTGTTATCCAAGGATCCCTTACCTTGCCATCTTGTCCTTCATCTGTACTGGAACACGCCAGTCCTGAACTCTTATCAGCAGGTCTTTAAACAATTACCACATGTCAAATGTGGACTTGCCTGATAACAGCTCCTCCCAATTAACATTCCCTAACTCCTGCCTAATACCAACGTAATTTGACCCCTCCCAGTTAGTATCTTATCACAAGGTCTTGACTAATCCTTATTCATAGGCTTTCTTAAAACTTAAGGAATTGTGATCACTGTTTCCAAAATGTTTTCCCACTGAAAGGTCAGTCACCTGCCAGGTTCATTAGCCAGTACTAGATCCAGTAGGGCCCCTCTTCTAATTGGACTATTCATATACTGTCATAATAAAGGGCACCCAGAGGGTCTCTCTATAGAGTTTCAATATAATCCCTGAGACAGGCAAAAACTTGCAGAGGATCACTCTGTACAGCACCCAGTCAGATAGCAAAGGCAATGAATTATCAACAGGCATTGGTCAACAGGAAACGTGAGCAGGAGGTTACATCATGTGAACTCTGAAATTCTTAGAGCAATGCTAAATAAAGCTGTATTCACTAACTTGAGGTCAAAATATAAGAGGGCCATTAATGAATCTAACACTGAATCCAAAAGAAACATCTTTACCAAGAGTAGTAAGAATGGAGAACCGTAACACCAGTGGTTTAGTGATTAGCAGAGATATACTAAAGGGGATGTTAGACAAGTAAACATGAAGAGAGAGAAATAAAAGAACATTTTGACAGGGTATAATTCAAGAAGGTTCATATGAAAGACAATTACCAGCGTAGTCTATTTGGGCTGCAGGTACTGTGCTCTAACATCTATCATTCTTTGTAAAATAGTTCGACACTTATTTGCCAGATTCCCAGTGGCTCAACCTCAATACCAATTCATGCACAGCACTGAACTGTTTTATATAGAATCTCTAACACAAATAGACTTCTAGGAAATGAACAGGTCCACAAAAGTTAGCAACTCCATTCAAGAGAAATAGTGCACAATAACACATGGAACAGCACCATAATATTTTTCAATAGCCAGATTCAAACAACCTGTAACATAAACTTTAGAATCATTCACATGTTGACTATGTCAGATTACCAAACTAATACAATCACCTGTCACAAGTCAATGATTCTCACTACCCATATGAGTTGAAAATATGATGCTTAATCTAACAGGCCAAAAAATAAAGCACTGAAGTAATAAAAACAATGGTTTAAACAGCTCACACATAACGTGAAATAAACAAGATGTGAATTTTAGGTCTGTATAACTCTTCATGTAGTTTGATGATCCAGGCTCACATTATGAACACCAAATATTCAGCTGAATATCTTCTGAATGACTATGGTTCTTAGCTGCATTAACTGCTGCAGGAAAACCCAACAAATTAGAAGGTTGTTCACAACACAGATCCAGTCCTTGATGACCAGATGGACTTGCCGGAGGGTTAATGTGATGTGTTAGAAATAACTGTTAAACTTGAGAGGATGCAGATAAGATTTACAAGGATTGATGCCAGGAAAGGAGGGTTTGAACAACAGGGAGAGGCTGAAAAGCTGTAGCTTTTTTTCCCTGCAGTGTTGGAGACTGAGAGGTGATCTTGTAGAGATTTATAAAGTCATGAGGGCACGGATAGGGTGAATGGCCAAGGTCTTTTTCCTAGGGTAGAGGAATCCAAAACTACAGGACATCAGATTAAGGCGAGGAGCAAGATTTAACAAGGTCCTGGGAGGTAACATTTTCACGCAGACAGTGGTGCGTGCATGGAATGAGCTGCCAGAGGAAGTGGGTGGAGGCAGGTACAATTACAACAGTTAAAAGGCATCTGGATGGGTTTACGAATAGTAAGGATTTACAGGGATATGGACCAAATACTAGCAAATGGGACTAGATCAATTTAGGATGTCTGGTTGGCATGGACGAGTTGGACTAAAAGGTCTGTTTCCATGTTGTACATCCTCATGACTCTATAAATGGAAGTAGGTCAGATTGAAATATCTGATCAGTGCAGAGGAGTTGGACCGAAGGGTCTGTTTCAATGCTGTATGACACTACGACTCAAAGTCTCTTGTGGTGTAATGGTAATGGTAGGTTGATTAAAAGTATCTAGGACGATGGGTCTTGTTCAAAAACCTTTGCCTCCTTTCAGTTCAAAAATCTGTATGAGTTAGGTATATTCCCATTGTTAAAACATTTTAAACTCTTTCAGATGATTCTGCTGACACCAAACTGTCAATGTGAGACATTAACAATTATTTGTCTGCATGTTATGTATTAATCACACAAAGTACATTAAAAGAAACACTAGAATTAATTCTATAATCAACTGATGTACATTTGAGTCCTCCTCAGCTGCAGAGAAAAGTGTGTATCAGACAACATCTTATTGGTTTTGGGAAAAGCAGGGTTAAAACAGAAGATCAATTAGCACTTGAGTGCCCCTAGACTTCAACTCACAGGAGGGAGGAAAGCCTGATAAAGCTGGTGCGCATTTTTAAAAAGCTTATCTCAGAGAACCAAACAAGAAAATGAAAAATGACTCCTTCCTCTCGAGGATTAAACATACAAACTCTCCTACTGACAAAATGTATTTGAAAGGTCACTTTAGATGGTTTTGAATAGGATTAATCCCTTGGGAGGTTTCCAGGTCTCAAAAGTGTACACAGGGGAGTGGGACACTGATATTGAAGCACTATTTAAACCTTGCAATGACTTTTTTTTTAAAAAAGCCTTCACTATGTTGTACATGAACGTTGCTGCAAACTTTAAAGAAATCAACATTTTCTTTGGCTCTGTGGTCAGACTATGGCTATGTTCCTACTGTTGGAAGCACCATTGTTGCTGATCAAAAAATAAAAATAGCAAATTCTAAGAATACACATTTTGTCAATCATCATCCAAAAATCACAAAGAAAATGTTAATTTGTCTAGCATGTTATCTAGCATAGCAATGCACAAAGAGGTACTACATGAATGATCTTTTCCTTAACACTGTTTTGGAAGGAACCTTTGGAAGGATGAAGCAACCAATCAGATAATTTAACCTGCAATTGCTGACCTTAACAATGAATAATCTGATGTACGTTTCTAAAATCTGGTTCAGTTGTCCGGCATTTGGAGCTTTTCTTTCAATCACAATTATTCCATTATAAAGAATGTGAAAACACAGAACAAATGCGTAATTTTTAAAAAAAGTCTTTTGTTACATTCTGCAGAGCCATAATTTTTAAAATAAATTAGCACCTACAGAGCTGGGTGTGGAGAGAGGCATAAATGTCAGCTTAAGCCTGTCCCCACTTAGTTGGCTTGCACCCCAGTGCTTGGTTTTTCACTCCCATTGAGGGCAAAGTACCATCTCTGAGAGGTGGTGGTTCCAGCCATGTCATCAGGGTAAGAGGGATGGCCAACAATGGGAGAGCCAAACATAAAGGTCTATGTAATATAACATAGTTGGGACAGAGTCTCACCAAAGGCAGGCTGGTAGGTCCCAAAAAGAAGTTGCAGCAGTAGAGTGGCAGATCAGTTTGAGCAGGATGGGGGTTGGGGAGGGGGGGGGGGCCTTCAAATGGGCACAGGGGATCTATTAAGGATGTATGTCATCCTCCCAATTGCCCAGTCACCAGTCCAAGCAGGGAAACCTTCCCGCCCACCCAGGGTCCTGCCAAGAATTAAAATCTGCTCCTGAAACAAATGTAACTTAGGTGTGCCATTAAATCTCATCTTTCCAACATACTCATTGCTAGTCATGCACATTTTACCTTCCATAAATTTGAACTATCTACTGTCCATGCCTTAGTTCACATGGAGTCACAATCCCCTATCACTTATGTTCCTGCTGACCTTCCCTGCCTCAGAGTCAAGCCATGGGGAGGCGATGGCCTAGTGGTATTATTGCTGGACTGTTAATCCAGAGATCCAGGTAATGTTCTGGGGACCTGGGTTTGAATCTCACCACAGCAGATGGAATTTGAATTCAATAGAAAACTGGAATTAAGAGTCTAATGATGACCATGAATCTATTTTCAATTGTTGGAAAAACTCATCTAGTTCATTAATGTCCTTTAGGGAAGGAAACTGCCATCCTTACCTGGTCTGGCCTACATGTGACTGACTCTTAACTGCCCTCTGGGACAATTAGGGATGGGCAATAAATGCTGGCCTAGCCAGCAACACCCTCATACTGTAAATGAATTAAAAATAAAAACTGTCTTGATTTTAAAATTCTTATACTTATATTCAAATCCCTCCATGGTCTTATCTCTGCCCTTTGCCTGTCTCTAATCTCATCAAGCCTCAACTCAGAAATATCTTCCCCTCCTCTAATTCAGATTCCTTGTGCATCCCTGATTTAAATACCATCACCAGTAGCTGCACCGTAAGTTACCTAGGTCCTGAGCTCTGGAATACCATCCCTTGTTTTAAGAGAAACAAATACCTGAATATAAATAAAAGTGAAGTTTGGAAATGATTATAATCGGCCCGTGGATATATTAATCTGCTGACCCCCCTCCCACCTGTACATGATAATTTTGACAGGTATAATGATTCAGCCTCATCTCTCAGAACATAAGCAAATTATAAATACATTATTTCACTTTGATTTCTACAAATTATTTACAATATTTGTTTACTGGATTTGAGTATTTATGAACATGTTGTAGTTTATGGACCACATGGGATGTTTTAAATTCTGTTTTGCCCTGTTACAGGCAGATAATGCTGCAAAATAGATTTTACTGGTGGAATCACTAATACTCAGTAATTGATATTAACAATATTCTCAGTTATAAGATATGGAGAAAAAGAAAATGCCCAATATCAGATTATGTCAGGGCTACAAGAATGAGAAGTCACATTTAGCAGCATGAAAACTGAACTACCTGGGGTTTGTTACTTTGAAGGCAATGTTCAAACAGAGAAGTAAATTATAAGTAGAGCTCCTTCGAACCTGGAATTGAGTTTTACAGTCAGGAACAATGAAGGAGCTCAAGGGAGGGAGCATCCTGGGTAAAGAATAACACAGATCTAAACTGGGAGGGAAAAAAACAACACATTTCCCAGTA